CAACTCTGCACCCTATTAAACTTGGTGTTTGGGTAGCTATGTCACGTAGAAGAATAATCGGACCATATTTTTTCCGTGAAAATGTAACTGGGCAGGTATATCGGCAGCAAATATTGTTACCATTTTTTGAGGAACTTCACGACGATGAAATCCATCATGGATACTTTCAGCAAGATGGCGCAACAGCTCACACCTCTAACGAAACTTTAGAGTTGATTAGAGAGTATTATGATGATCGAATAATTAGTCGAGATAGATGGCCACCACGTTCTCCTGACCTTACACCCCTAGACTATTATTTATTTGGTTTTTTAAAAAATTCAGTATTTGCTCAACGGTTACACACGATTGAAGAACTTCAAGAGGCAATTACAAACGAAATTAGGAGTATTACACAAAATGTTTTACAGAATGTATTTAATAATATGAAAAGAAGAATTAATACCTGCTTGAACAACAATGGACATCATATTGAACATTTATTGTAAAAATATAGATATTTTTATGGATTTTATGTAATTTTAAGGTAAAATATTCAATAAAATGTGAAAAAATTCCAATTACTCTGTTATTATATATTGCATGTAACTGTTGTTTATTGCTCTCGGTCATACAGACAATCCTACCATCTAACATAATCAAGCACTTCCAACTGCTTGCATTTGCTTGAAGCAAATTTTTTTAAGACACTTTTCCTGAATTTCGACAGCTAACTAAAATGTTCAGCATAAATTTTTGGGCTGGATCGCTTGCGCTGGATATTCAGAAGTGTGAAAGCAGTAGCTGCAAAATAGTCGTCTTATAAGCATACAGCAGTTTGCTTTGATGAAAAACAGCAGCTTGCAGCGTATCGCTGTATAGCTGAATCGTCTTAGATGCCAAGAATGTAGCCACAATAGTGCTTCTGTTTTAAAATTAACTCATAACGTTTTAAAAATAAAATCGCTGAAGCACTTACAGTCGTTATTCAAAATTAGCTACATCAAACTTTGATTTAAAAGTTTTTCTAATTGTAAATGAAATAAGAATTTTGGAAAAGTTAGGCTAAACCTACATTTGATTCTGTCATCCTCTTTAATAATAATAACAATAATAACATTTATTGGTCCATCAGTATTGCTTAATTTGTGAAATAACTTTGATTTTTGTTAAATAATTGATATTTTTATTATGAATTTCCATTTTGACAGTAACCTAATTTATTTGACGTTTGAACGTAATTATTTGTTTACCATTAAAATCCCTCAACCTGCGCTCATGATTCTAGTATTGGTATCAAAAACTGGTATGCCGCACATCAAAAATCAGTATGAGGCGGCACGGTCAATCATTCTCGATCACCCTGTACAATTATTGAAATTAGTATTTCGTTTGGCGAAACTCATCGAATCAGTATTGTGAAATCATCATTAGTTTTGTGAATTGACTCGTTTCAATTATTGTTTTGCACTTTTTTCTTGGCCACATTCTCATCACTATTCAGATTGAAAGATGTTCAAACACTATTGAGCACTGGGCGTCTTATTTATGAGAATATAACAGTAGTATTATTATCGTCTTAGAACAAACTAAACAACTGGTAGTGACGTCATTTCACGATGGCGCATCATATATGAAACCTTGTTTTTTTAGGTGGTAATGAAAAAACGCTGTATATAAATAACAACCTTACCTTGTTAAATATTACATTAACAGACATCAGCCCCCGAAACCAGTAACAGATATAATAAATTGATAAATCTCGACATAGGACTTTGAAGATGGTAGTAATCCATTTTGGTGGAGCCCATCCAAACCAAGAAGCAAATGGAAAACGTATAGAAAACGTGATATAACTTGCAATGCTTAATTTCAACGAAAGGGTCCTTTCTCTCTATCTTGAAGTGAGTGAATCCCATAAGTAGATAGTAAATACCTAGGTATATATAGGTAGGGTAGAGGCAAGACACCGTGTCTAAGGTGTTCGGGCACATTTTGTCAGTTCTAACTATAGTCTTATGATCTATACGCGACATGAATACCGTTCATTTGCATTAAGTAATGTCTGGTAGGGTGACACAGTAAAATGGCCACAGGCGTTAATAAAGGATGATTAGTCACTAATACCAATAATTTTTAAGTTATTGTAGGGTTGGATCGATAAGGAAAATATGGCCATTATTAACTATATTATACAGGGCGTGGCGTCTATAATGCAGAAAATTAAAAACCTAGGCTCTTGACAATAAATGAAGTAAAATAATATATGCTACCATAAGGCGATTATGAGATTTGAGTATCAAAAATATTTTCCAAAAAATTAGATTAGAAAGAAGTGACAAAATGTTAATGCCGGTCCTGTTTAACATAGCGCAAAAAACATTGACCTAGTCCGCACTCTGCACGGCATGGCAGATCTGTGGAGTGTCAGTCAGTGTCAGTGTCAGTACGCTTTTGGCTTGCGGGTGAATTGCTGCTAAGTTGTGTCAAAAAGATCGCGCTTCTACTGTTTAGACGTTAAGTGTTTATTAAAGACGTTTTTTATTTTTTATTTTTTAAGTTATTGTTTTAACTAATTCGGCAATGGATAACGAGGACAACAATAATACGTTTACTACTACTATCGAACGATAGCGGTAAGTTTGCATCTTTTTTGTTTGTCGTGATCCAACCTATCACTTGCTAAAATAATAGTAGTCTTTGTTTCTACAAACCTCTTGTCTGGGATTGCACATTATCATTTACAGTGAAATAACTAATTGAATTTTATGTTTATTTTTCCTTTTAATTAAAACGAGAGGATTGTATTAAACTGGCCAAAATTATTTATTATTGCATTAAAACATTTTATCTCTTTTGTGTGTATTTCATACATTTTAATTTGGCAACACTGATTTGCGCAAAGGCTTGACTCTCTATTAAGTTCGGTTCGGCAAGCGTGCGCTTATGGTCATCGAATGGCATGACATTTTTTGACCAGGACCGTACTAAGATTTATTTCTTCGCTACAAAATTGAAGTTCAATTTTCTTGACAAAACGTGGATATATGAATTTCTTATATAAAGCTTTTTTATTGCATATATTACTGGTAATCTGCATTTTATTTTTTCTGCACTAAAGATACCACACCCTGTGTTTTTTTGTAGAATTTTTACTTTTCGAAAATTTTTTAATACCTACTAAGTTGGTTTTGAAAATTTCGAAAGTAGTCTCGCTTTACTCGCATCTCGTCTGCTTTTGAAGATGTCGACAAAAATTCATGGAAGAAAATCCCAAAACCTCGAAATCCGCCCAAATCGATCCACATGTGATTTTCGCTTCTATACCCCCTCCCTTGAACTAATCTGCTCATAACTATGACGGGAACCATGTCATAGTTTTGTACCTTACTACAACGACCAAAGAACCATCTAATCAGACGACATTGTTATCGAAACTAAAAATAATAATGAAACTAATTTCGTGACGTGCATTTCATGAGACGTGAAACTAGCTTTTTCAGTATGGGATCTTTGAATATTACATATTATGTAGAATCGATATGTATGTGTAAGATTCGTACAATTTAGAGAAGTATTCTATATTTAAGACCTAAAACAAGCCTAAATCTATCTCCTCGAACAATTCTCGGGTAAATTTATTTAAAATTTATAATTTAAGCCATAAAAAATAGTAGTTAGTTATTAAGTAGGTACAGGTTATATTTCTTTACAAAATAGATATTGCTGATGATTGCGTTTTGAGAGAGGGGAAACAGGTCAAATTTTATTTAATTAAATTAAAATATTGTATACATGTTATTAAAATATGATTTTTAGGATTTAAAAAATAAATATTTATTCAGTTCATTATCAATAATATAGGTGTAGAAAACAAATACGACTTGCTTTTATTCGTAACTCAACCATTGTTTTTAAAATGGTCATAGATAAATTATTATCTTAAAAGAAATACCATGTAATCGAATCAGTACAAAGTAACCAAAATTGCAACAGGCTGATGATGACAAATCGATGAATGGGTACAAAAATTCCTGGTAGTATAATTATGATAACAAGCATTAGGCATCCGGTCAAGTTTGATAAGTAGAGAGCTGATATTGATATCAGTTATTTGGTGTGTATTAAGAATATCTAAGTATAATTTCAGCAGTTTGAAACAAAATATTTAAACAATTTATTTTAAAAACTCTCTTCTTATTTTTAAATGTTATAAATCTTGGTTTTGTGGATAAAACGGAATGTATCCTATACAAGTCATTTTACTCTGTGACGAATTGTGGTAGAGTTCCTTTTTAAAATAATAGCCCCTTCTCCTAGAATACAATTCATAAATTAACTTACTTATTATCTACCTGACGATAATAAATTCGAACTTTTATTTGTCAAGGCTTCACCAGACCAAGTCTATGAAAGTGTTGTTTAATAAGGTCTTATCAATTTTAATAATTTAACGCAGCAACAAATGCATATCATGAATTTCATATTATACGTTCTACAGATAATAATATAAAATTGTTTTATAATGTTATATTAATTAGATTTACGTAAATGCCTCAAGGCGATAAAGGAACAGGTTCATATGCTTATTACAATCACAGTAGTCTGTTTTCCTCGTTTTTTTTTTACAAAACAAAAGACAAGCAGCCACAAAACAAACAACAAACACGGCGCTGCTTCGGATACGCCTAGGCCAGCGCGAGGCGAACATTGATACGGTCCGCGTCGGCCGACTCTCCCTCTGCGTTCGCAGCGGGCACCACCCCTACAGATCGAGGGAGATCGCACCCCTCCTACCTGCTCCTCGGCACATCTCACCGGGAAGTGACAGGACAACAATCGAAAAACGGCGCGCCACCTATCGCAACTAGTCTCGCGCTTGGCCCAGCTTAGTTTGTTGTGATATTTCGGCAGGCCTTGACTTCCGACGCCGTCGATTGTTTGTGGTTATGTCAGAGCGGTAACGCGGCGGAAACACGTGGAAAAGTGAGGTTAAGTGCGTCCTTACGGCTCAGATGGTGGATATGATGGCCGCGAAGATGGAACTCGCAGAGGTCAGTGTATGCTTGATTTAATGCTAGTCATTAGCACCCGGTTAGGGTCTTAGTATACGAAACTAGGCAGTGATTAGCCGCTGCGCGCTAACTGATAATGCAAATAGGCCCACAAAGAGCGTTATTTTTTCTAGTGAGTGGTTTTTATAAGGCGGGCGGTTGTTTTATTTGGTGATATGAATGTATGTAGCGTTGTTTACTTGATGGGTCGACGTGTGTGGGATTTGTTTTTATAGATTTTTACTACCTGATGAATCTTACACTTCGTTTTTATTGTGTATTACTAAATAGCTGCACCTTATGCTTCTTAATTAGGTATACTAAGATTAAATGGAAATATGATGCGCCTTAGTCACCTATCTATATATAAGTGCTCTACTGTTCATCGGTTGCGGAAAAATTAAATGAAATTATTGAAAGTTTAGAATTTTTTAACTGTAGGTATTGGAGATAAGCTGGAATTGAATTAATTTCGTTATCATTATTTGAATTGCTAGAAGGGAAGTTTTATGTTAAAAAAATGCACCGTATGCTTTTTTATCTAGGCTTTAGAAATTCCGAATTTTTATTTCGTGTTAACTATTTCTACAATCGGTAATTAATGGCCATTCTACTTCAAACTAAATTTTTTAAAATATCTAAATATATTTATATAACTTTTTCTAGGCGTTTTTGACCACTGATTTTATAAATTTCAAAATAATGAAACTATTGTTTTATTTAAATACGTTTGCTATAACTAGTACATTGAGATTGAAAACATCGTAGCGCTTTCTTTGAAAACTTGTATTTTTAAAGTTAAGTCCTAGACGTAAACAAACTTTTTTATCTTTTTTGAGTCATAACGGCCTTTGGAGTGCAATAGATTTATCATTATAATAAAACCTTTAATATTTCTATTAATTAACAGATATTATGTTTGCCGTAAAAGTCCTAATTATGTATTCATTTATGTTGAATAATAATAGGCTGCCATGTTGAAAAATCATTAATTAAGTACCTATATTAATAACGATTTTTAATTATCATCTTTATAGCTGGCTTTTACGGCTTTTTTATTTGATTTAAACATGGCTTACTGATCGGTTATGTAACTAGCATTGGAGGATTCAACTCTGAAGACTCAATACGGAAATTATTAATACCTAAAGGGATTATTTCTTTCATTTATTGAATTTTTATATATTAAACCCGTTTTCTTTAATTAACATCATTAATTTGTGACTTTGCATAGTATTTCATTTGCAAATATAACACTTCTGTGTCGTTGTGTGTTTTAATCTCTATAGATATAGATTTTGTTGCAATTGTCAAGTTTCATTGTATTTTACATTATAAAAAGACTTTCCACCATTTAGTTCAAGTCTGTACCATCATTTATCTAACTGTTTATATTTTTCATTCCCCCTGTACAATTTTATATTTCGTAGCTATTTATAATTATTTTTTTTAAGTCATAGCTCGCCAAGTAATAAATTTTATTTTATCTTTAATAATTACACCTCGCATTATTTACTGAAAATGTGGCAATAAACAATAAGAAATAACTACCAACATAAATTTCTGACTTATTAAAGATCGCGGAAGTAGGTACAGCCATTTAATGATTTTTAAATTGTAGTATCTTCAGATACTAGTAAAGTTTTAAGGTTTACATCCTTAAGATATAGCAATAATGTAATTATGGAGACATATTAATTAGGTAGTCGCTATATAACCAGAAAGTAGATTTTAAAACTTTCCCAAAAATTATAACGACCGTTCAAATAAAAACGTGGTCGAAGTTGGCTCTGACACATTGGACGTAGGGAGTAGCTTATAGCAACCAACTTAACCTCATTTCTCAACGAGCTGTATAGCAGCTGTCAGTTTCAATAACGTTAATGACTATATAACTTTATTTTAAAGAATAATCGTGATAACAATAACAAACAATTAAAGGAGCTGCGGAAAG